TGAGGTGTCCCAGGGCAGCAGCCGTGTGCCCGGTGCACCCCTGCCCATAGGGGTGGTTCCTGGGGGTCCTACACAGCCCCTATGTCTGCTGTGTCCCCATAGCAGTGAGATACATGCTCTATGTGCGACCTGCTGGGATGCTTGTAGGTGGGAGATGCAGAGCCCCAGGCTGAGCTCAGCCACCACCCAGCCAGCCCTCCCCTCACTCATTTTTGGGGGAAAACAAACCCAAAGCAATTATGTTGCTCAGAGACACCTCACCCCTGTGCTGCAGCCAGTGCTTGAGGCTGGCAGGGGACGGTCCCAAGCCCTTTCAGAAGGCCTGGTCCTGAGGCCCCGGATCAAACCCAGAAGGTCTCCATTTGCTGCTCTGCCGCTCTGTGCCTCAGTTTCCCCCCTCCTTGCATTTCTTGGGGCTGTTTGCTCCATGCATTGCCAAACCAGCATCCCAGTTTCCAGGGAGCGCAAAGACACAGAGAGATGCCCCCCAGAACAGCCTGATTTGGCACCAAATATTTGTGCCATGGATTGCTTGCACTATCCAGGCATGAGAACCTTCACCCCACAGTGCCACGAGGTCTGAGACCACGCAGCCCCCCCATCCCAGGGCTGTAGGGCCGGCTCTCCTGCTGCCCCGTCATCAGTGAGCTCTGCTTGGGCCACACGGCGGCACAAACAGCTGCGTTTACAGAGGCGTTTCTCTCCAGCAGAGCCATAACTCAGCTCCCGTCACCACGGGAAAGGGGAGGCAGGCTCTCCAGTCTCCTCGGATGGGAGACGTGTTACTTGCCGATAATTTACCTGCTCGTGTCAAATCGAAAAAAGAAACAGCCCGGCAGCTCCTGGGCCGCTGACGCTGGGCTCAGAGAGGGAAAAAATCAATCCCAAACCCAAAGGAGCGGTTTGAGAGCAGCCGGCTTTGGGGCCGGGCTCCCTGCCGGCTGGTGCTGTAGGGCTGAGCTCGCAGCCTCGTTCTGCCCCGCAACCGGCCCCAGCCACGGCCCAGAGCTGCGCAGGTGGGGTGGGAATGGGAGATGATGACGAACCTCGTCGGGAAAGGAGGCGGAAATCAGGGAGAGGTGAGGGGACAGGCAGCAGAGGGAGCTGGAGGACCGGGTAAGGGCAGCGCGGGGATGCCCGAGGTGGAGGCGGCCCGGCTCCGTGCAGCTCCTTGTCTCGGGGATGGGATGCCGGGGTAGGAGGTGGGTTGAGATGGCGCAGTGACCCCAAGCCAGGGGCGGGCTCAGCCCGTGCCCGCAGCCCGGCTCCTGCACCAATCCCTGTCACCTCCTCCAGTTTTACTCGCAGCGAGGTCCTGAGCCGGCAGCACTGAGCCTGGAAGGACGCTCATCCCAGCAAGGGGATTTGGATGGCTCTGTGACCATCAGCAGCAGAGCAGTGAGCCATCAGGGAGCGGGAGAACCTGGTGCAGGTACGGCAGAACCTGAAATTGTCCCCCTGCTCTGCTCCCTCTGCCTCCTGCTGAGCCCCGGGGTGCAGAACTCACCAATTGTTCCTGCAGTCAGCACAGTCTGCCTTCCCATTTGGCAGGCCATGCTGTGGGTCTGAGCTCTGGGGACACCGATCCCAGCTGCAACCTGCCGCCCTCCCACCTCCCTCCCTCTACCCTTGCCATTCCCAGCAGCAGGAGCCAATTCACAGCCATGGGTGCCACGCTGGGACAGTATGGCCCCTGGAGCAAGGGTGGTCGAAGGCACTTGCTGCTCCCAGGAAGCAATGCCCACAGCAGGAAGGTCTCACTTTTGCTGCTGTGCCAGGTCCTGCAGTGGTCTTTGTGGTGCCTCCAGGCTTCTGCTGCTGTGGTCTCTGCCATTCCGGATGGGAACTTGTCATGCTTTTCAACAGATAGCATTTTTCTACTCCCCATTTCCCATGCAAAGCTGCAGCAGCTCACAAGAGATGCGGCAAGACCCCCCACCCTGCTCCTAAGATTGTACCACTGGGACACGCCAAGAGATCGCCATTGAAACACCCAAAGGAGGCACCACTGGGACACCTCAAGGGTTCCTATGGGAACACCATTGGGACACCCCAAGGATCCGTCAAGGGGACACCCCAAAGGGCCATCACTGGGATGCTCCAAGGAGACACCATTGAGACATCTCAAGAGGACATTATGGGGACGCTCCAAGGAGAAGCCAGTGGGACACTCCGACGGCCAGCACCCACAGCCACTGGGGGATTTGGGTCTGGGGGGGCCCTCTTGCTCATTCTCCGTTTTCTGCCTTAATTAGAACCCGGAGAGACCGGGCGAAATCGCATTAGCGCGGGGCCCCGGTGCGCGGAGCCATCCATCTTTTTTTATTACAGCGTAATGGGGCTGCTCGCGAGGCGCCGTGCGATTTGTCACAGGCCTCGTTCCCTGATAACGGGCATTTGTCATCACTTTCTTCCCGTGTTAATGTCATCATCGGCGGGCTGACAGGCGGACCCGCGCAGGGAGCGCTGGCGACAGACCACATCCGTCAACCTAATATTTCCGTGGCTGTGGGGATCGGCCGGGCTGAGCGCACGCATTAAGGCGCTTATGGGGGAGAGAGAGGGAAAGGGAAAAAAAAAAAAAAAAGCTAAAAAAAAAGCTAAGAAAAAGAAAAAAAAAGAAAAAAAAAGAGCCATTTTCATTCATTAAAATGTTGGCACGAGCGAGTCACTGCATGGGACACAGCCATGGCTTTCTGCTGGAGGACGCAGCATCTCCTGGATCGCATCTGGGGCAGCAAAAGGTCTTCGGTAAGAGGGGAGGAGAATAAGTGGGGTGGTTCCCCACCATGTCCCACCCCAAGGGTTTGTGCCAGGGCTCATTGGAGGTGTTGGTGGGGTGAAGTGAGCAGCCTCAGCCCCCATGGGGTGATGGGAGGGAGGGGAAACCCCCAGTCCTCCCACCAGGGACCTGACCCCGGCCTGCTGCTGATGATAATTTGTGGTTGGGGGCACTCAGGGCTTCGCCCCCCAATATTTGGCTGTTTCCATGGAAACTGGGGGTGGGGATAGGGAGAAAGGTGCTTGGGATCATGGGTCTTCATGGGGGGGGGGTGTGTGTGTGTCATTTTCAGTTCTTTTCTATTCTTTGGGTAATAACGCAGAATAAGGATTTTTAATTTAATGTCTGTATTTCTAATAGCTCTGCAGGGCACCTGGGGGCTTTCAGCCGGTGCTCCCAGCCACTTCTGCCCATTGCCTCCCCGGCTCTGCCCTGCACATCCCAGGACATCCCACCCTCTCCCAGGTTGGGAGTTTGGGGTTTTCCCCAACAGCCGATGGGGAAACTGAGGCACACAACGCCGCTCCCCCAATGCGCTCCCACCGTAAATCGCTGCCCTCCAAGGGCCGACCGCCTTTTAGGAAGGATTTGTTGGGGGTGGGGGGATGGGAGGAGTGGGACACGGCTTGTGTGCGGCGGCAGCGATGCGCTCCCATAAATCGAGAGGCAATAGCAGCAGTGGGGGGGGCACGGAGCACCCTGCCGCCCCATCCCTGCACTCTGCAGCATCTCCCGCTCTGCACAGAGCGCAGCGTGGAAAATCCCCCGGCGGGGAGTGCGGACGCGTGTTCTTTGTAAATGAAGAACATAATTAACATTAAATTAAGGTAATACAAATGAAGACAACACAGCGCCTGACAGGATGAGTGTTTGGGGAGGCAGTAGAGAGAAGTGATTCATATTTTTAATTTACTGTACAAATAGACTAGCAGGGCTGGGGGGGGGGAAAGGGCCATCCGAGTGGAGTGGGGATTTCTTTGCTTTTTTTCCTTCTTTTTTTTTTTTTCTTTTTCTTTTTCCCACTGTTGTTTTGCTGTGCTTTAAGCACACAATGACTATTAAAGTCAACTGCCCATATAATAGGACATCTCCTACATGAGCGCTCTCCGAGAGGCAGCTTGCTGCAGCCATAAATCCCGGCAGTGCCATCTGCTGGCGCGCACCTCGCGCCCCGACCGCCCCGGCGCCGACCCGCTTCGCCGTACGGGATCCTTCCTTCTCTTTCTATAGGGAAGCACGCTTGTGCACGTATAGCTATTTTCTGAATAGCTCATCCTTCAAAGACGCGTTTTGGAGAGGTTGGGTTGGGGAGAGTTGGATCCCAGGAAACGTGCTGTGGTTTGGAATGACACACATCTTCACTCTCCTCTCCACCCAATGCTCCCTCCCTCAGCACTGGGCACACGTAGGAAGGCACCCGGGGCAGATCACCTCTGTCTTTGCTTCCACAGATCCAAGCAAGGCCGTGAGTACCCTCACGGTACCGAAGTCACTTCTCTGTAACACCTCTGATTTTTTGAAAGCCTTCCCCTCACCATCGCTGTGTCATCCCCTCATCCTCAGTGCCCTCGGAGTATGGCTGAATCCTTTTGGTGGGTTTGGGCAGTGCTGGAGCCCTGTACTTCTCCCAACCCCATGAGGGATTATTTAGAACTACAAAATTGTTTGAGTTGAAGGAACTCTTAAATGCCACCTGGTCCCATGCTCCTGCATTGAACAGGGGCACCCACAGCTTCGTCAGGTGCTCAGAGCCCATCCAGCCCGACCTTGGGTGTCTCCAGGGAAGTGAATGTCCCCACCCCTCCCCTCTCTGGACAACCTGTGCCTCGGCCCCAGTTCACTGGACAATTTTGGTGGTAGGAGGTTGTTTGGACTCAATGATGTTAGAGGTCTCTTCCAACCTTAATGATTCTACAACATGACAGCAGGGCTCGTGGGTCACACCGGCACACAGGGGTCGAGGGGTCACTGCTTGCCACGAGGACGGCACGGGGCATCTCCCAGGCTGCCCAGCACGCCGGGTGGGAGAGAGAAATAAATACCGGAATAAATAAATACCAGTGGCAAAGAGGCCTGAAATGATGCTGTCGTTTGCTGGGAATGAGAGACACAAGTGTAATTTAGGTTTTGATATTATGAAAGTCTCGCTGCTCTAAAACAGCAGGGCACTCAGTGCCTCATTAATAAAGGATAAACTTGGAGTCTATTTACAATGCACTTTTTGGGGTTATTTACACTCCATTATACATATGTAATGCTGCACATATTTACCGCTCTGTTCTGCTGCCGAGAGCAGCAGAGTCGGGAGGGGGACGTGGAGGATGCTATGGGGCCGTGATCTCTGCTTCCACGGTGTTGGACCAGGCAGTAGGGATCCATACGGACCAGTCGCTGTTCCCATGCGCATCGTCGGGCTGCGGGTTGGCAAGACGTCCAGCAACACCCATCGTTGTCCCTGCTCCCCTCTCAGCACTCGCTGGGCTCAGGGCAGGCTGTGCTCTGAGCCCTCCAGGCTGCTCTCTGTGGCCCCATATCCACGGAGCCTCAGCAGCCCCACATGGCACGGTGGGGCGAGGGGTTGGCGGGCAGCAAAGACACGGCTGATCTCCACGAAGGTCTTGTTCTTGGTCTCGGGGACGATGAGGTAGACATAGAGGGCCACCAGCAGGCAGACCCCACAGAAAACCAAGTAGGAAAAGGCACCGGTTGACATCTGGGGACAAGGAGAGGGAAGGGTTGGGGCGGCTGGTCTCGGCTCCTGGGGGAGCAGAAGGGTCATGGCCATCCCAGAGCCCAACCCGAGGCCATTACCTGAAGGAACGGGAAGATGAAGCCGATGGTGAAATTGCAGAGCCAATTGAGAGAACCCCCCAGGACATAGGCAGCCGAGCGGTGGGACTGCGTGAAGAGCTCGGCTGTCATCAGGAAGGGGACGCCAGCTGTGGAGGGATGGTTGGGTCAGTGGCAGGGGACCAGGATGTCACGGCCCTTTGGGACAGTGGGATGGGTACTGGACAGGGAAGCTTCAGTCCTGGTGCTGTGCCCGGGGTCCCAGTGCTGGGGATGCTCAAGTCACCCTCGTGAGAGGTGCTCCAAGGAAGGAAATGAACAAGCAAGCAAAAGTGATAATAACTCCAGGAGGAGTGCAGCCCCCGATGGACTCTTACTCACAGCTCGCCCAGAATAGAAATATGTATATTTTTGTTATAAAAGTCCTATTCATCATTGTTTGTGAACAATGAGCCATTAAAATCCTAATTAAAGATGTAATTACAGTGAATAAAGTCTGGGCTGAGGATGAATTATAGATCTGCTAACGGCTCTGCTAATACATCAACTGGGTAAAGCAGGGCAGGTTCTGTGCCTGAGGTCTGGAGCACCCAGCTCTATGCTGTCCCGTCCCCACCCCTGGCCCCACAGCCCCCAGGCCCACCTGGCCCCATGCAGAACCCAGCGATGATGCCCACCACGCAGGCGACGGCGACGTAACGCATCCAGGGCAGGGCAGTCTGTGGTGGGACACGGGATGGTGGGACACCAGTACAGAAGAGAGATGGGTGGTCAAGGGCAAAGCAGAGCCAGCTCAGGGAGCACCCATCCCATCCACTGGAGGGTTGGACTTGGTGATCTCAGTGATCTTTTCCAACCTTAATGCTTCTATGCGTCTGTGATTCATCCCTTCACCACCCAGCCCTCATTAAGGGTTGCCCGGGGTTGGAATCTCATTAAGGCACCCAAGGCCCATGGGATGGCAATGTCCCAGCCCTACCTGAAGCAGCAGGCAGCCGGTGATGCCTGCCAGGCAAGTGCCCATGGCACAGAACCCGGTGATGATGAGGGGCCGCCGGCCCAGCTTCTCAATGGTGAAGCACTGCCAGGGGAGAGCAGAAAGCAAGGGGACAATGGGGATCCCACGGTGGTGATGAGGGTACACTGTGGGTCCAGGTCCAGCTGCAGGCATGGAGTGCTCCTGGTGGCACCTCTATGTCCTCATTCAGATATATGTCCTAAAACTGAGCCTTCTCACCCCGTTCTTCCACCCCGTTTTCCTGCCACCCCCCTGCAGAGAGTGGCACAGATGGTATATGGGGTCTATCTGACCCAAGGCTCGATGGTGCTGGGTGCTGTCTGTCTGTCCATCCCTCACTCACCCCAATCAGCCCCGCAACAACTTCAATGGCGCCGGTGCCCACAGTGGTGTACGGGATCTGGGATTTGGGGATCCCTGCGTTCTGGAAGATGGTGTTGGTGTAAAACCAGATCTGCCAAGGAGGGGACTCAATGTGAGTGGGGGCACAGAACTCTGTGTCCCAGCAGAACCAGGTTTCAGGACCAGGACTCACGGCATCGATCCCTGAGAGCTGCATGCCCACATTCACCACCGCCACCGAGAGGGTCTGCCAGCGCACCGAGCCGTCCCGCAGCAGCTGTCGGACAGAGACCGTCTGCACCGAGGAGAGGGACTGCTGCTCCTCCTTCATCTCCTCCAGCACCTCCTGCACATCAGGTGTCCCCAGGAACCGGCGCAGCGCTGTGGGTGAGGGTGGATGGGTGCCCATAAACACGGCATGGGGGGATCCACTGGGCTGTGCATCCCTGGGAGTCAGGGAGATGCCCTGACACCACAGTGATGGGCACCAGGGAAATGCTATGGGATAGTTGAGTGGGAGAGAAGATTTGGGTTATACGGGGTATGGGGGCTGTCAGGGTAGTGTGGTAGGATGCATACAAACAGGTGGTTCCCCCCTAGGACAACCCTCACCCTCAGTTGCCCCACAGACATCATTCCTCTCTATCAGTAGGAACCGTGGGCTCTCTGGGAAGCAGTGCAGCAGCAGGAGCTGGAGGGAGGCAGGGATAGCCACCACCGCTAGGAACAGGGGCCAGTACCCGTCCTGGGGAGAGCAGAGATGGAGATGTGTCATGGGGAGGGCAGTGCAGGGCCTGTGGTAGGGGCACAAAGGGGACATTCCATTGGGGGGTAACCCTTTGGGAGGGCATCCCACTGGGGGACATCCCGTTGGGCAGTACCCCATTGGGTGATACCCCATCCTGCTCACCTGGCCCAGCAGCTCAGGCAGCCCCAGCACCTGTGCGCAGAACACCCCCAGGCAGATGAAGATGCTGGGCAGGAGGCCCAGGAAACCCCGCAGGTTCTTGGGAGCGATTTCTCCCAGGTAGAGGGGCACCACGCTGAGACAGATACCTGACAGCATGGACAGCAGGGCCAGGCGGTAGGCAGCGAGGTGGCCACACAGACAACCCCCAGACCCTCTCAGGGTTAGGGTTAGGGTCTTCTCCACCCACCTGAGTGCAGCCCGGTGATGGCACGGCCGATGATCACCATCTCGGGGGCTGCCAGCTGTCGGCTGAAGGCCATGAGGCCACCGGCCAGGAGGACGAGCAGAGCGCTGCGTCCCAGCGTGCCGTGCCTATGGGGTACACACAGCAGTGGGGCAGCCCCTACGGCCCCATCTGCCCCGTGCCACCCCCTTACCTGCCATAGTGTGCCACCAGAGTCCCCACCAGCAAAGAGCCCCCCAACCCGCCCAGGGCGAAGACGGAGACGGTCAGAGAGTAGAGGAGGGTGAGGGGCCCAGGGGGCAGCCCGTGCCCATAGCGCTGGGACCACGTGGCGTTGTAGAAGGCCTTTATGTGCTGTGGGGCAGAGAGATGGGCACTGACTGGAGAGGAGAAAGGTGGGGGGCCAACAGCATCACAGCCAGCCCTGGGGCAACAGCCTGAGGGAAGAGCCAGCACTTCACTGTTGGGCAGGAGTTGGGGTCCCACCGCCTCCATGGAGGGATGCAGATCCCGGTGGGGCTGTGCCATCCCTTACCGCCGCTGGCGAGTTCACCACGGCCAGGTTGTAGCCATAGAGCATGGAGGAGCCGAAGGATACCAGGAGGGTGACGGAGAGCAGGGGGCAGGTGAGGCGCTGGGGGAGAGGAGAGCAACAGAGCCCTGTTCCAAGCACATACCCCAGCCCCACAGAGCTCCCCAGTAGCCAAATCCCAGTCCTTGGAGTTTCTTCTCCCCCAGCCCCCCTTTCTGAGCTCAGTAGTCAGATCCATAGCACTCAGCAGCTCCCGGCTCACGCACACCAAATCCTCACTAATCCCAGTCGGAATCCCGAGCTGGGAACTGGGGGGGGGTTACACACCATGAGGGATGTGGGGAATGGGGATGGGGCAGCCCCCAACCCAGACCCCTGCCTACCCAACACTCACCCCACTGATGTCCCTGCTGGGCCGCGAGGTCCCCTTCTCGTTGGTCTGAGGATGAGGAGGAGGGGAGGAAGGCAGCCCCTGTGCCTGGCTCTTCTCTCCCATTTTCAGATGGAAGGAGGGAAGGGAAAGGAAAAGAAGGAAAGGCAGTCTGAGTATTGTCCCCTGGGCTCATTGGAGGCTTCAAAGTGGGTGGAGGAGGAGTCTGGAGCCCTCCCTGCCTCAATGGTGCTCCTCAGGACTGGAGGCAGAGGGTTGAAGGGGATGCCCACATCTCCCAGCACCGCCATCAGCCCCCCACCATCACATCGGGCTGCGAGGCAGCTATGCCCCATCTGCTGTGATGAGGGTAGGAGGGCTGGTGACCCACGTGTCCTGATGAATGGGGGCATCTGCCCTTGTCGGGACCAGGGTGGCAGAGCCCCCAGCCCCAGGGTGCAGCCCCCAGCCCCAGAGAGTAGAGATGCAGCTCATGGCAGCTCAGAGGAATCCAATTTTGCTGCGGCCAGGAGCTGCCTCCCCTGCTGCTAATGAAGTGCCTTTAATTAGCAGCCTAATAGCAAGCTCTTAATTTGCTGAACAGCCAGTCAAAAGGATGGGGACCCCACTAAGCCAGGCTGGCAACAGCTCCAAAAGCTTAAAAGGGACAGGCCAGGCTGGCTGGCCCCACCGTGGGACAGGTCCCTCCATACGGGACTACCTGTGTCCTGCAGTGACGTTCCGAGAGCCCCTCCATCTCTCTCTGCCTCAGTTTCCCCATGTCTTCACTGGGACATCGACCCGCACAGATCTGTGGGACTTCGAGGGCTCTGTCCTCAGAGCAGAAGGACAAGGCTGCTGTCACGGGGCTGTCACTGGATTTAGGAGTAAATCTGGGTTACTGTCACTGGTCCCCAGCAGCTGCTAAGAGCTTTGGTGGATGTGCAGGTGGGGACAACGTGGCAGGAAGGGAGGGGGGTGAGGAGGAAGCCTGAGGTGTCAATTAAGGGCCACTGGGGAGCCGGGTTAATTGGAGACACTCCTGCGACCTGACCCAGCGATGGTGGCACACGGTCGATGGGGACAAGCGCTGGCAAGCAACCCCCACTGCTCTGTGCTGGGATGCAGCTCAGCACTGCGTCTTACAGGCAGCCCCGGTCCTCCCTGACTCCGTGTGCTTTGGGGGGAAAGCAGGAGCCAGACCCCAATCCATCCCATTCCCTCCCACTCTCACCCCTGCAGGACCGCTCGCAGTCACCTCCTTATCTGGGTGCTCTCCCACTGCAGGAAGGCCATGTACCTGCACGGAGCCCTTCCAAGCCCAGGTTTTCCTCCTCCAAGCCCAGCAGCCCTGGCACAGCAGCCCCTCACCTCAGCAAACATCCCCAGCAGCCACGAGGCTCCCACCATTAAAGTGCCCAGCAGGCCAACACCGACTGATTTCCCTCTTCCCCAAACACTCCTTGCTGAAGTGTGCATACAAAATTGAAAGAAAAAACAAGAAAGAAACCACCACCAGAAAATTTCATTTTAAAGCCGTGGGTCGATCAAACGCTGTTAATTTGGAGATATGGCAAACATTACTTTCCTTCTTCATTTGAAGTGGAAATAAGGCACACATTTTTAAAAGGAAAGGGTAATTAAGCACTGAATCTATTTAAGATAAGCTGCCTGGCACTCACTCTGTTCCTGCAGAAATTTACAATGAAGATTGCTTTTCTGTCTCAGATCCTGTGCTCCTGGATGTGAAGGCAGAATTGCTGGGAAGTTCTCCAGCTCACTCTGATGGGTTGGAACTGGATGGTCTTTGGGGTTCCCTCCAGCCCCACTATTCTGTGACTCTCCCATCTTTGGGGTCCCTTCCAGCCCAACCATTCTTTTCTCACCTCCGGGGTCCCTTCCAACTCGATCACTCTGTGATTCGATGACCCTTGTCTTTGGGCATCGATGGGAAGGAGAGGAAGGGTTGGCTAGGGATAGAGCAGGATAGGAACAGCAGAGGATAAAGCAGCATCAATCGACGATGTATGTATTAAAAATCCAACCCTCTCCAAACAAAGCATGTGGCTGCTGGGAATGCTGTCACAAGGAGAGATGGGGATTGGAGGTGACAGGACTCCCAGCCCAGCAGAAAGCAGGAGGTTCGCCATCTCCATCCCCTGCTGCTTCCCAAAAATGGAGCCAGCAGGGAGAGCGGCAGCGGGCGCGCGGCAAGTGTTTGTTTTCTGCCCACCCTGGGAGCCGGGATCTTAAAACCGCAGTCGCCTTTGTGTTAAAAGGGGCTGTGAAGTAAAACGGGAAGATCTGAGGTTGCCATCCGCAGAGCATTTTTAAGAGAAAGGTATTCTGAGGCCAAGGGTGCTCGCGTTTGAATTGTCAGCATTTCAGCATCCCCAGCCATTGTGTCGCATGGCGGTGCAGCGATATGTCAATTACTCACTCATTATTGAACAGCAGGATTCTGATTAGCTTATAAAACAAATTTGTGCTTCTCCTACCAGGATCTTGCAAGTGTACCCAGAAAAGCACAGTCTTTATACTTTTATAGGCAAGATGGTTGTGGCTCGGTGCGTCGCATCCACTCTGACTTACAGGGCAGACGCATTCGACCCAGCTAGAGGCCACCAGTCATTCGGTGGAGTTTGTTAATTAAAAAGTATGCTGTGGTTTTAGGAAAAAGTCGTGGTGGTGGTGGTGGGCTTTTTTTCCCCTCTTTCTGCCTTCCAGAGCACAGACAGAGGCCCGGCAGCAGCCCCCAGGCTGGTGCTGGGGCAGGGAGGTTCGTGCATGTCCAAGTGCAAGGCACAGCCCTGACGGTCCAACACTGTCCTTCATCCCAAAAGGAACACAGGAGAGGTTCACAGCTTAACCTTTGTATTTGTATTTAAGTTATTTTCTGAACAGTTAAAAAAAAACAAACCACACTGTTACCATGACCCTAGCTCAAGTGAACATTAGTACATTAACTACACATCACCGTAACATAATCACAAAATTCAAAGCACTCGTTACTTAAGAATCCAGATAACAAATATAGCAGAGTAACAAACCAAAAACTCTGGAGAAGCCACGTCCTTCCCCCCCTCCCAGCCCTCAGTCTGAGCAGGGATGCAGCACAGGACAGTTTTTGGGGTGACCACCTACTACAAAAGGGACCCATCCAGCAGTCAGTTACCACACATTAAGGGCTCGTACATCCATGCACATCAGCATCCCTCTGATTTTCAGTGTATCAGTTTAACGTCACCGAAGATTAACCAGTGGTGACAACTCCTGTGAGATATCCACGGGACAAGCAGGGAAGCCCAGCGGTCTTTGGGAACAAGCACAAAGTCACGGGGAGAATTTTCTGACAAGACAAAGGATGATTTATTCTGGCTGTGTATCAAAGCTCACCATGGGAGAGAAGCTCTGGGAACGTGCCAGGAGTTAGGCCACAGCTCATTAAAAAAAAAAAGGAGTGAGGGGGAAAGGAGGGGAACCAAATCTCAGCCTCAGCAGGCGACCACCCCTCCCAGCCCACTGCTGGGGATGGGCAGAAGGAATGTGCCCGTGGGACCTGCTGCTTCTGTTCTGGTATTAAGTGAGGACAAAGACTGTGGCCCTCACGCCAATCAACCCAGTGGGCAGGATGAAGAAGGGATTTCATACAGAGACCTCTCCAGGGACAGCTGGGTCTCCTCCCGTTCCCCTTCCTTCTGGGAAGCTGTTATTGCTCCTTGGGGAACAGCAGCAGGGCAAGGCTCAGCACGTCAGTGCATCATGCATGCCACTGGGAGACCTGGCAAAGTCCTCTTGGTCACTGCAGTTCAGACCTCTCACCCTGTGCTCCCATTGCAACTTAAACGTGGGCATCGCTGGACCCGCCCATTCCTGCAGGCACTGCTTGATGACCTCCTGGCATTTCTGACGTCCTCACAGTAACCCTTCATCCTCGTGAGCCAAGTACACCAGCTAAGAACCCTGTTTTTGCAGCACTGTCCCCGCTCGTGCAGAGCTCCATCTCACCCCCCCGCTTCCCTCCTAGCCTTCAGCCACACAGTTCTCTCCTCCTCTCCTCCCCCGGCCTGCAGCAGGAAGGCTGGGGCTCCTCTCCTCGCATCTCTCCCCAAGGAGAGCTGGTAGTGCTGTGCCTCAGCACAAACACCAACTGCATCAGCCACAAGTCAGACCTACAGGTGTGAAAGGAAGGCGCTCTCAGAAACGTGCTGCCCCGTCAGAGCCAGGATGCTGAGGGACTGAGAGCCAAGCCTGGAGCCCTGCTCAGACTGAGGAAGGAGTGAGTGACAGGGGCAGGGAACATACCTGGGGCAGGGAACGCGCATGGTAGTCTCCAGTTTTTTCAGTGTTGTTAAAAAAAAAAGCAAAAAAAAAAGCAAACAAGGATCCTTTAGAGCTGGAGCAGGTGGCAGATAGGTGGAGCACGGTGGTCCAAGTCAGCTTCCAGTTCAGGAACAAGTGTAAAGCATTTCAACGTTTCTGATGATCAGGCTTCTCGACTTGTCACCTGCATCCTTCCCTTCCGGCAGCGGACGTGTCTGTCCCTGAAGGTTACTGGGGAGGAGACAGCCACACAAGTTCCCTCGCTGCAAACTCCTTTGTGCCATTTTCTATTTGCATATTTTAAAGCAAGCTGAATTCCTCTGAAGATGAGAAATATTTGCAGCACAACGGTGTCAAGGAGTCACAAGCAGGAGACGGTGTGGCCAGAGGGACTGTCCTGCTTTGGATGCCCCACACCTGCAGCACTCGGATCCCGCAGCGCAAGGGGAAGGCTCTGCGAGCTCCCTGCTTGTGGGAGAAGTGACCATCTCTATGCAGCAGAGGTATTTCATTTCAAAGCCATGTGCAACACTTAAAGCCCACAGACACCTTCAGCCCCTTTTATCTCCTTTCTGTAGGCAGGTGCTAGCTCTTTTCATCATAAGCTCTGCAATTACTCCTACCTGGCTGAGGGATTACCCATTCAGTTCATGCTGAAACCTCTCTCACAGGTGCTCTTGCACTCTCACGCACAAGCACACGTATGCTAAGGGGGGAAGTTTAAAAAAGCCACTCTTCTCTGACTCTGAGAGATGTACTTACCAGACCGCTCCTCCCTGTGTGCAAATGAACACCACCAAGTGCCAGCTTGTGGCAGCTTCAAGTTCAAGTTACATCAGTTCAGTTTCCTTCCTAGCTATCAGAAAACGTGTACAACTCAGGGATGGGTTAAGAATCCTCAGCCTCCTGCCGTTCTGTATGAAGTACCCAGACACAGTCCTTACTTGAAGGGGAGACACCGTTCCTATGTTTGCCAAAAAATGGGAGTTCAGCTGTTGCTCTCAAACTGTACCTTAAAGAGCTCTGGACAGCGGAGTCTGAACTACAGTACCACTTGAAATACCCAGCACTTAGAAGTTACAACACAGCAGCATGGA